ATAAAGACCTATACATGCGCCAAAGTTTTTTTTAGATCAGTATTGCAGTAAAGACAGACACTTCAATTGCTGGCTCCTACCTAGGAAAACTCCATCACTGAAATAAATTTCCACATTAGCCCTGTAACATTGATAATTGCATAGTAACAACTACATTTCAACCTCTCTGGTGAAGAGACCAACATGAACACCACTTCTAAATATACATGGAAATGACTCATTCACACTTGTGAAAGTGATGGCTATGGCCTATAGGCAACCAGGAGTGACTAGGTTTACACACTTCCAAGGAGCCTCAATAGAAGCAACAGAATGAACAATGGTTTTGGATTTACAGAAGGTGCAAGGGAATCCTAGATCAACAAGTTTACAGGTGACATGCTCTTTTCCCTAGTGGCATCAAATAATCCTGCAGTCCACTTATTTACATAGCCCCAAGCCCAACAGCCTCAGCAGGATGCACACATGCATGTAAACCACAAGGTGCTTGCATCAGAGCCATCCAAACACATTCTATGGAGTAGCAGCAGGAGGGAAACAGATGTTCGATTACATTATAAAGGAACTCCATGAAAGGTTGTTAGGTATGTTTCAGGTACTTCAAAACCTCCTTTTTAAGTGAGGGGTTTTCTTTTCATTCAAAATGCAATGTCTTGCATGCACACATGCATGTAAACCACAAGGTGCTTGCATCAGAGCCATCCAAACACATTCTATGGAGTAGCAGCAGGAGGGAAACAGATGTTCGATTACATTATAAAGGAACTCCATGAAAGGTTGTTAGGTATGTTTCAGGTACTTCAAAACCTCCTTTTTAAGTGAGGGGTTTTCTTTTCATTCAAAATGCAATGTCTTGCAACCCCTGCCACTGCTACTTCCAAACCGTCCTTTGGCACATTAAGTTGGGTTAACCCGACTTGGGACAGTGTTTGCAATTAAACTTTGACGACCCGTAAGCCCCACGTCTCCCCTCCCCTCGCCCCCCAGGGACTTTCCTCTGAGCATCCACCTTCTGCGCAGCGCACGCCCAAGGCGCACAGCCCGGCTGGAGTGCAGCCCCACCAGCTGGACTCGTGCCACGCTGAAGGGGAGGTCGCCACAGCGCCCCCCGGGAGCTAACGGGGAGCAGCCGTGCATTGCCCTTCCAATCCCTCCCCCCGTGCATTGCCCTTCCACCCTCCCCACATTGCTCCACCCTCCCCGTGCATTGCCCTTCCAATCCCTCCCCCCGTGCATTGCCCTTCCACCCTCCCCACATTGCTCCACCCTCCCCGTGCATTGCCCTTCCAATCCCTCCCCCCGTGCATTGCCCTTCCACCCTCCCCACATTGCTCCACCCTCCCCGTGCATTGCCCTTCCAATCCCTCCCCCCGTGCATTGCCCTTCCACCCTCCCCACATTGCTCCACCCTCCCCGTGCATTGCCCTTCCAATCCCTCCCCCCGTGCATTGCCCTTCCACCCTCCCCACATTGCTCCACCCTCCCCGTGCATTGCCCTTCCAATCCCTCCCCCCGTGCATTGCCCTTCCACCCTCCCCACATTGCTCCACCCTCCCCGTGCATTGCCCTTCCAATCCCTCCCCCCGTGCATTGCCCTTCCACCCTCCCCACATTGCTCCACCCTCCCCGTGCATTGCCCTTCCAATCCCTCCCCCCGTGCATTGCCCTTCCACCCTCCCCACATTGCTCCACCCTCCCCGTGCATTGCCCTTCCAATCCCTCCCCCCGTGCATTGCCCTTCCACCCTCCCCACATTGCTCCACCCTCCCCGTGCATTGCCCTTCCAATCCCTCCCCCCGTGCATTGCCCTTCCACCCTCCCCACATTGCTCCACCCTCCCCGTGCATTGCCCTTCCAATCCCTCCCCCCGTGCATTGCCCTTCCACCCTCCCCACATTGCTCCACCCTCCCCGTGCATTGCCCTTCCAATCCCTCCCCCCGTGCATTGCCCTTCCACCCTCCCCACATTGCTCCACCCTCCCCGTGCATTGCCCTTCCAATCCCTCCCCCCGTGCATTGCCCTTCCACCCTCCCCACATTGCTCCACCCTCCCCGTGCATTGCCCTTCCAATCCCTCCCCCCGTGCATTGCCCTTCCACCCTCCCCACATTGCTCCACCCTCCCCGTGCATTGCCCTTCCAATCCCTCCCCCCGTGCATTGCCCTTCCACCCTCCCCACATTGCTCCACCCTCCCCGTGCATTGCCCTTCCAATCCCTCCCCCCGTGCATTGCCCTTCCACCCTCCCCACATTGCTCCACCCTCCCCGTGCATTGCCCTTCCAATCCCTCCCCCCGTGCATTGCCCTTCCACCCTCCCCACATTGCTCCACCCTCCCCGTGCATTGCCCTTCCAATCCCTCCCCCCGTGCATTGCCCTTCCACCCTCCCCACATTGCTCCACCCTCCCCGTGCATTGCCCTTCCAATCCCTCCCCCCGTGCATTGCCCTTCCACCCTCCCCACATTGCTCCACCCTCCCCGTGCATTGCCCTTCCAATCCCTCCCCCCGTGCATTGCCCTTCCACCCTCCCCACATTGCTCCACCCTCCCCGTGCATTGCCCTTCCAATCCCTCCCCCCGTGCATTGCCCTTCCACCCTCCCCACATTGCTCCACCCTCCCCGTGCATTGCCCTTCCAATCCCTCCCCCCCCCACATTCCTCCACCCCCTCCCCACATTGCTCCACCCTCCCCGTGCATTGCCCCTCCACACCAGCCCCTCATCTACT